GAACTCAAATGCAAGCACAGTCTGTGTCTTCTGCAATACTGTAGTCCAGTTAAGGGTTCAGCAAAAGAATAGTTAAACACGTGCAATGCATTCCAATGATGGGTTGAATGTCCATAAGATAATCCTCCTGAGAGGAGGCATTCATCAGTCAGAAATTCAAAATAACAAAATATGTAACTGAAAAAGTTTCCCTGAAAAGCATCGAAGTTAAGTGCATGAACCTGTCCAACTTACAACAAAAGGGGTGTCCAAGATATAGGGTATTGTGGACATGTAAAATTATAGGATATTCGTCGGTTCAAATTAAAAGTGTCCAATATAAAGGGGTGTCCAGGATAGAGGGGTGTCCAACTTGAGGGGTTTTACTGTATTATCAGTGTGTCAACCACAGGAAGTAGCTCACTACTTTAAGTGTTACATACGCCGCTTTTATATTTATCCCTTTCGCTAGTAAATAAATGCGGCAGCATCAGATGACTAGCGTAATGGCCGTGCTGAAGCAGTAGCGCAGCGTTAATTGAGAAAGACAGACTGCATTAAGAGCAGTAAAACACGAGATAAAGTTGCTGTTGTCAAGGTATCAGTATCAGACATGATCATATAATCTGACATTCAGCCAGACTTCAGCTCCAATAAAAAGCACGATGTATGGACGGCACGCACTGGTTCCGCTGCTCTCCGCTCAGATGTCGGTCCGCGCGCGCACAGCTTCAGCTCCATTCAGAATTCACCGTTCAAGCGAAAACAATTGCATGCTTCGGACTGGAAAAGCTTGGCGCAGAAATTGGACGCATGGATGGAGTTTGTGCCAAATGGGACAGTACAGAGAATTTTACCAACTTCGTAATTTTTCAAAAATATTTAGAATGTCGTGTAACGAGTTCTTTCAATTTGTGGATATACATAATGGTGCAGACACATGAATGAAAACGCATGTAGATAGGTTTCTTCCTTACAGTTTATCTTTTAACCTGTTGCTCATCTGTTTTTGGTACAGTTGGTCTCTGCATACGCACTAGGTCTATCAGAGACTACTCTACCTTTGCTGTACAACGTAATTTTAAGGCCAGTCCCTCTGCCAGATGCGTTTCTGCTGCCAAAACAGTCTGTAGGAGCATCAACATCTTTAACAAACATCGTATTTTGTTTACTGATGTCAGTCAGTTATTTAAACAATAATCATTGTTGTTTTATTGTTTATTTAGTATAATATTTTATTTTGTATGTTATCCATGTTTATTAAAGTATACAAAACAATAATTTTGCCTGTTGTTTTGTATGGGTGCGAAACATGGTCTCTCACTCAGAGGGAGGAACACAGATTGCAGGTGTTTGAGAATCGGGTGTTGAGGAGGATATTTGGGCCTAAGAGGGAAGACGATGGGGCCCTCCCCCAGTATTGTCAGGGTGATTAAGTCAAGAAGAATGAGATGGGCTGGGCATGTAGCGCGCATGGATGGGACAAGAGGTGTGCACCGGATACTGGTCGGGAAGCCTGAGGGGAAAAGACCGCTGGGGAGACCTAGACGTAGATGGGAGGATAATATGAAGTGGGATCTATGGGAGATAGGAGTTGAAGGAGACTGGATTTTGTTGGCCCAGGACAGGGTCCGGTGGAGGGCTTTGATTAATTCGGTGATGAATCTTCGGGTTCGGTAAGCCATCTAGTTAGTTAGTTAGTTATCTATGTTTTGTTCAAAATTAAACCGATTTTAATTTAATTATTATTTTACTTATGCATATTATTTACCTCATTTACTTGTTAATTATTTTGCAATAAATGAATGAATTGAATTATTATCATTATTAATATTGTACATTTATATATTCAGTTAATTGTTTATTTGCTTTTGTATTGTTGTTAGTGTTTGGCTGTTATTGGGCCTTTTTGACTGTTGTCAAGCACTTAAATTAATGAATTGAATTGAATTGAACATCTGGCCTAACAAATGTTTTTACAAGCACATCCATACTCTTTTACTTTAAGTCGGTATTTAAAATGGCCGCCACAGGGACATTGTATTCGAGAGATGGTCAGAATGTTCTGACTTTTTCTGTGTACCCGTACAGAAAAGTAAATATAATTTTCGAAATGAAATTTATCCATTGAGGAGGTTAGTGGTGGCTTTGAAGCGAACTCTATTGTTCCACATTTTACATTTAGAATTTCAAAGGGTATAAACAAAAATTTATAAGGATTCCTCATAAAAGTTAAGTGTTAATGTCCAGTGGGCGCTTAATTACACGATAAATTATACACTCTAATGTTTCAGCACTGATTAAATAAAGTACAGGACAGGAAACATACATGATACACTGAGACGTATAACTAACATGAATTTTTCAGCTTCTGTTCTATAGGATTTCTGAATATTCTAGAAAATCTAGTTTGTTCAGTTCATGAGATTCCGGGAATTACAGTAACGTGTAACTGTTTGACAAAGAGGAAGCTGGATTTCAACGAGACCAGAATAATGTTACTACATTAACCTTGAAAGTATTATAATTACGTGTTCAATTGACGTCTGAAACCCTTAGTAATGCCAGGCTTATCGTCACAAAAAAACAGTATAAGGCATACTGCTTGGACGGTAACAGACGAGATGGATAAAACGGCACGGATCAGCGCGCTTGTAAGTGTATGGTGAAATACTGCATAAAACAGGAAATGCACTGGAACACAACTGGAGGCAAAAACAATAGTTACTAGTGAACTGAAATTGAAACTACAAAATCGTAGTGAATGTTAATAGAAACGCTAACTAACTAACTAACTAGATGGCTTACGGAACCCGAAGGTTCATCACCGAATTAACCAAAGCCCTCCACCGGACCCTGTCCTGGGCCAACAAAATCCAGTCTCCTTCATCTCCTATCTCCCATAGATCCCGCCTGACATTGTCCTCCCATCTACGTCTAGGTCTCCCCAGCGGTCTCTTCCCCTCAGGCTTCCCAACCAATACCCGGTGCACACCTCTTGACCCGTCAATGCGCGCTACATGCCCAGCCCATCTCATTCATTGGGGGATGAGTACAGATTTTTAAGCTCATCATTATGCAGTTTTCTCCACGCCCCATCGTCTTCCCTCTTAGGCTCAAATATCCTCCTCAAACACCTGCAATCTCTGTGTTCCTCCCTCAGAGTGAGAGACCATGTTTCGCACCCATACAAAACAACAAATAGAAACGCTAGAAAAACAAAACAATTTAAACAATTTCGAACGACAAGGTTTATTAAAACAATATGGCTAATGAACAAGCCGTCAGAAGTTTAGGCAGAGACAATTTAAATGAATATAACTAACCCAATGGACAATTAACAGGAAATGTCATTAGGAAAAACTATGACAAAAACTCACGTATATGGGTTGTAACTGGAAACAGTAATGTGTTACGTAATTTTTATAATTTTTTTGGGATCATAATATTGCATTTGATAACGAGGCTGTTTTATCAGTTTTAAATTTTAGCTTTTAAATTACTGAAATTCTATACGTAATTTAAAGGTCAAATTTGTGTACTGAGAATGAGGTGGCACTGTCGATGGCTTAATAGTCAAAACTCATAAGCCGAACAACAAATTCTGATTAAATTTTGTTAGTAATATATTTTTATAAATCACACTGAAGTTCTCAGACAGGCTTCAAAATAGTGTAATGTTTTCTTGTAGGTCCGTATGTTTTCCGACATGGAACACTCTCCTTATATTCACAGGCAAACTTATAGTGTTAAGATATCTGGAAGATTCCAAGTACAGGGGAACTATAGTTCCTCCTGTAATGACGTCCATTTCCTAAAAAAGTAACTTTTGCAGATTCCTAATTTTACTTTGTGCGAAATTAACGCCACAACTGGCATAATAAAATAAATGCATTTTCTCTGACTACCAATGAAACTAATTTGTTTGCGCGTATGTGCTTAGAAGCGTTGTCTTCCGAGCTACTTTTTATTACAGTTATTTTTATAAACACCATTTCGCTTGAATCACCTTCGTCGTGTCTTGATAAAATATGTTTCACTGTTTCCCGAACACTGAACACTGGTTTAATATTGGCATTTTTAATACGAATATTTTAGTCATTGTGCGAAACTTATTCTCGTAATAAGTGAAGTTTGTCCTCGTATTCCTTTCTTAACCTTTCGCCGATAAAGTTGGCAGAGTCTGTGGGATTTTCTGGCTGCAAGACGTGTTATGATGTCTGTATAATTACTGTTGGTTTTGGTAATGCATTATCTATTACTATTTATCTGTCTTTCTTTATCTGTACCGAGTCCATTCTGTCAATCACAAATTCTTGTTTAAAATACGACACTTTGTATGTGTTTTTTAAGGACAACGTGAAAGCTGTTGATTACAGTGTCCGTACGTCTCTTCATACCCTGAATGTAAATTTTTACGAAGCTCCATGAACTGTAATGTCTAGATACTTAATTTTGTAATTTAACTCAATTTCTAAAGTGCACTTAGTGGAGAGATATTGTTAGATTCAATAAAAAAAATTCCTGTGATGTCTTAGTGCAGTCAATAAAAATATAGGTCTGTAGTTATAGGAATACTTCATAATATAATATTGAGAGATTCAATAAATTCAAAAATTTTATTATCTTCAGTAAATGCCTCGATGTAAGGAGTTATAGTAAGTGGGGAGTGAGTGATCATTATTTAAAACTTTCGTATGTAAATTCAAAATATTCATACTATTGTTATTAATATCTCCACTTTTTAAGCAGATGTAAAGACCTTCAACTTTACTTGATTCATTACTCCCGAGGTCGACACAGAGTTTGTACTGGGCCATACTTCGCTACGCGTCGATTTCTCTGCACTTTTCCGTTGACCATTCTCCAGTACGCAGGACATTATTAACCTACATTTGCAGGACTTTACTGTTCTGATTAAAAGTTAAACTCTCCACAAGAAGCATAATAAACTAACGTGGTTGTAATTTGAAAATAGAAAAGTGCTGTGTGTGGTAAACTAACTGTTTTGCGTGTTGTAGGGGGCGTTAAGCGACGACACTCCTGGAGCAGCGACTCCGACTTCCAGCTGCCGGAGAGGTCGCTGGACAGTGAGGGAGAGCAGTCACCGAGCACCTGGTATATCCAGGAATTGGTAAGTCTTTAATCAGATTTCTTTTACTCTGAACAATCCTCATCCCTAAGACTGTGGTTAGTGTTACAATGGAAGGCAGTGTTTGATCGTCCTGTTCGAATAACAAGGACCTAACGGTGGCCACTCGTTCTGACCATTGACATTTAATGAAGTACGTGGGGCAAGGAAATACCAATGGAAGAGATCTTGTTTTTCAGTTGTAACTGTGGGTAAACAATATTAACATTTTAAAGCCAAATGTTAAGTGTATGACCCACCTGCATCAACAATCGACTATTCTTCCTTTTGTATACTGAATGGGTTTGATGTGATTTTCTTAGTAAACATGGATTCTTTTCTTAAACAATGTTAACCAGCTGATCTTTGTGGTTTCTTTACGTACGGGCTGAATTCTTGAATAATATTTAGACAAGCTTCGGTTTCAAAGGGTAGAAGTCCAAGATTATAAAGGCAGTTAAAAGGAGGTTCTATGACCAATTTGTTCTTTTAAAATAATTCCCAAGGAACATGTTTCATCGAGTATCACATTGTGTTATCAAAAGAACTTTCTAGTTTTCAAAATGGTACAGAAAACAATTGCGGCGTACTTAGAACTTCACTCCTACACCAGTCGATAGAAGAAACCTCGGAGTTTTGTACGCATCTCGCAGAGACTCCAAATTTGCTTCGCGAGTCACACGACAGATTTCGAGACGATAATCGAACTCGTTCGAAACTTTGTGCAGTGTCTCATACATACATACATACATCTTTATTACATTCCATGGATCCATAAGTTAGTCAGATGACAATAGGATGTAGAATAAGTCATAATAATACAATACATGTTATACAAATACAAGTCATATAAATGTCACAAAAATACAAACAAAGGGTTCACATGAAGTAGAGATAAGATACAAATAAATCCACCGATTATATACAATAGATAAATTACGACTTACTTGTAAACATTTGAAATTCATCGACAGAGTAAAAGGAGTGTGTAATTAAGTATCTTTTCAATGCTGGTTTAAATTGCTCCTTTTTATTTACAAGACTTGTGAGATTTGATGGTAGACTGTTGAAAATGTTGATCCTTGCATAATATGCACTCTTTTGAAAACATGAGAAGTTGGCAATTGGTCTATGAAGCTGATTTCTATTCCTTGTGTTGACACGGTGTATAGCAGAATTAGTTTGAAAGAGTTCTTGGTTATTTACAATAAAGTTCATTAACGAGAATATGTATTCACATG